TATATATAGCCTTTGGCATTCATTCTCCCCTTCTCCCTCCCAAGACAACTCAACTTCATGCCTCTAAAGGATATTATTGATGCAGCAAGAAGATGAGAATACAACTCATCAACTAGACGTTTGTTCATGTACCCACAGCAGTGTTGTATTTGGTTGGCAGGAAATATCAAAGACATTTGCTGGGAACCATCATTTATTTGCGTTACCTGGATATGATATCACAAGAACACATTATCCCTCTCATTGGACTGAGCTGAAGCCTAGCAGTTCAGATCATCTAGCCTATCAAACTGTTCTCTCTGTGGATCTTGCAGTTTGTCCAAATTACGTCACAAGAACTTGGCTTTTTGGTGCAAACACTACATCAAGATTGAAAACTGAATGATTCCTATGTTTCCAACAGTGTGAAGCAGCACCAAGTCATGCAACATTAAGATCTGACCAGTTTCTCACCTGGAATGAGCAACAGATGGTTGTCTTCTTTCTGCCAAGCCACAGGATTAAGCTTAACAAGCATAAAGTTCAGATCACAACAGGGTAAAATAAGCTACAATTACATTAAAGACATTCATGGCGGTATGCGTGCTCTACAAAACCACCAAGTAGATCAGCTCATTTCTCCAGTTTTCTTTTGTGATATTACACATGTACATAGTAGAAAAATCTGGAGGCTATTCACTACCAGAAGAGTGGAACTGAAATTAACCAAGTACAAAACCTACAACAACAAAAGCCTGCAGCTCCTGACAGGATCCTACAAGTTCCCTCGATTTGGATATTTCATGACTACAATTCCCATCTCCATTAGCAAATCGTGGAACTTTCATCCTTGTGGAGCTGCACATAATTTTACATATTGGTGTTCCGTGGTCAGTTGTGCAGTTTGGAGGTTTGAGACTTCTGGTACTCACATCACTTGGTACACAACCTTCATCAGGAAAAGGCAGGTAAGTAAAAAGAAATGGCCTTGGCTAATGAAGGCTGAAAGGCCAAAACCACTTTCACTGCATGACCAGCTACATCATTCAAAATGATCATATGATCCTGCAGAGGGGTTGCCTGAGTTCTGATCACAATGGCCCCTCCAGACATTTCCACCATCTGAGCTGCTACAAGCCTGATTTGGGAGGTTGTTATTTCCCAGATCAACATCCAAGCTCATCTGTTGGACTTCTTGCGGGGACAGTATTTTGATGCACCGAACACAGTTAACAAACTCCCTGCACATTAGGAGTGATCATGCTTTGTTAGAACATAGACAATCTTTCTGCTATGATGGCTTAGTAATTAACCTATTGCATTGCAAATGTGAAAGACATGAACAAAATCGCATAAGAATCAAGTCTTCACAACATCAGTACTTAGTAGTATTTTTGCTTATCCTCCTGTTTGCTATCATTAAATTTTTCTCATGCATTTCTTTACTTGAATCATTATCTCAATTGTAAATAACAAAATATCTTTTTGGGTGCAGCACTTGGATCACTAAGAGGACTTAGTCTATTTGGAACCTCGTATACTTTGCTTATTATTACACAAAGTCAGGAAAACACAAATATCTAATCATCCTGGAAAGACTTGGAATTTTTCTTAATTGTTTTCAGAAGTCCTGTAATATGTTGTCATTTTTCTTTGAGGAGATATGATAAATACTTAAATTAAGGTAGTGCCTACATGGGTTGTGTTATCATCCATGTTCCTTTCAGAAGAATAAAGTGGGAAAACATAAATATCATCCTAGATAGCGACTCCACAACAAATGACAACAGAAGTTTCTGGATCCTTTACGCACTAATAAGCATGTTTGTCATCTTCAGTATTCCTAAAGAATATTGGCAATTTTTTCTTTAATCCAAAAAATTAAGACTTCTTAAAATGATTAAATTCATGCTGTAACTTACTCCCATGGGTCATCCCCAACAAGTAGAACATCATTCTCATGATCTACATAAACTAGCTTCCAGCCAATTCTCTGACGATCTTCCAGTTGTCCCTCTATACTGAACATCCGTGCAAGATCATGTTTCAGTTCATCATAGCCTGAATAACGTGCGATATCTATAGATCTGCCAACTGCTCCACGCTTGTACACCTATAAGAAATATCATAAATTAGGACACGAGAGAGGAAGATTGAAAACAGCAAGCTTTAATATTATCAAGAAGCATACATTAAGAAATAAGAAAAATATCTATGCTATTTCATAAACTTGCCCGTCTTGCTTAACATGGTGGATCCTGTTTTAATCTTATGGTACTGCAAAAAAATGGGATTATTTCTACATCCATTACTAGCTAACTTATCCCATGAGTTCCAACACTTATTTCTAAGCTCATGGAACTTACCCTATGCATGATAATTTTCATGCCTACAGTGTAGCCAATGAGATAAATAAGCTTATGCATTTGGATCATGTTATATTGATGCAATATATATTTCAATATGTGTAGCTATGAAATTGATTAGTATTTGGAAATTATTGCAGCAAGCTATACTTTTCAAGGATAATTCACAATATGATGGTATTATTTGCTTCACTTTTTATGCTATATATTACAAGATGCTTTAGGTTGGGCTTACTAAGCATTTCTTCTGCAGGTAATATAAATCACTTTACTCTTGGGTGATAAAGCAAAAACAACAAAGTTGATTAAAGATTTCCCTATATTTAGCAGAGAAATTAATTTGGCACATGATAATGCTGGACAAAACAAATATCATAGCTTCAAGTTGAGACCACGAACCTTGGTGTAAGTGCGCATACGTTGAAGGGGTGGCGGCGGTGCCGGTGCAAAGGAATTCCTATTTAATAAAGCACTATCATTAATTGTTGAGTCAATAGAATTAAATGCCATGTCCGGAACTCCAAATGATTGTGAAACCATGGATGATGATAGCTCTTGCTGAGCATCTTTTGAGGTATTGTAATTGGCAACTAAATCTCCAGGGATATGATTCTGATACTTTCCTGAATCAATGTTATTAACCAGCAAAGTATCAGTAGCCAAAGGCATCCCCATCGAACCCTCTATGTTAACTCCAAAAAGGACATTATTTCTTGGGTCTGTTCCTGGTACATCACCATCTGGAGGTGCATCTCGGAGAAGTGATGGCTGATTGAATGAAGAGAGAGGGAAGTTTTGATTTAAAGCTCCATCAGTCTGAGATAGGCACACAGAAGTTGCTGAGGAGATTGTGTCCAAGTAATCCATTTGAGCTGTGTTGCTTACATATGTCTGAGGGGCAACAATACCCTGATTTTGCATCTTGGAAATTGGGATTGAAGGCTTCACATTATGTACAACTTTTGGAAGCTCCTTCGGGATGCCAGGATTTGCTGCAGCTGCTTCGAATGAGTTGGGGCCAAGCATTGTAATGACTGACTTAGATGTCTTTTCTGTTGACATTGGATTACGATGTTCATTTCTATTTAAGATTGCATGGGGAAGAATCATTCCGTTGTTTGCTGAAGGTGATGTGGAGCAAGACGGGATGTCATCTGTAACTCCTGACTGTGCCCCTCCAGCAGCTAGTAAAGGGTTGCCACTAGCTGTGATAATGGTTGCTGGTGTGGCAGGAAAGAGTGCCCCAGGCAGATCACTGATTAGAACTTGCGGCTGCTGAGGCTTTTGCTGTGACTGGTTCTGCAAGGGCTGTGGCAGCCTCACAGACTGCGAAGTAGGCTTTGCACATTGTTGAGGGATCACTGATTGCTGAAGTAGTGAATGTGAGTTTGATAACTGCTGTGGTACATCTGGGAGAGTTCTCTGGTATTCCTGAACTTGGGGAAGTTGAGGTTGTTGTGTTCTCGGCTGTGAAAACAATGATTGCTGCTGTTGTTGCTGCTGCTGGAGTGTTTGTAGCAACTGCAACTGAATCTGTTGGTCAGATAACTGTTGATTCACTTGACCAGGAAGCTTAACTGGCATCCTACTTTGTGCTTGCTGATATTGTTGCTGAAATTGCTGCTGCGGCTGCTGTTGAAGTTGCTGCTGCTGAAGCTGCTGCTGATGTTGCAGAAGCAGTTGCTGAGGATGTTGTTGTTGATTCTGTTGGATGCTAGTTTGTACTAGCTGATTGTTCTGAATCATTGGCGGCTGCTGCTGCTGTTGCTGCTGTGGCTGCACTTGAGTCTGGACTAAAGCTTGAGGCTGTATGATATTGTTCTGTGTCTGATTCACTGGTAATGCTTGGTTGACCAATTGCTGCTTCTGCTGCATAGATGGATCTTGCATTTGTTGTGGGGCTCTACTAACAGCACTTACTTGATTCAGCGGAACCGACACCTTAGCATGTTCATCAACTTGTTGGCCTTGTTGAGGCAGTCTACCGGTGTTGAACTGTATATTATTCTGCTGCAACATTTGAGCTTGCAAACCCAACTGCCTTGAAATATCAGTTGGGCCAAGGTTTTGCATAACAGGTCCTGTAAGAGAGCGCAAATATTCTGTCTGCAGGGTTTGGTTAGCAAGTGATGGATTCTGTTGCATGTTCATCCACTGCACTAAACTTAAACCTGGCATTATAGTATTCTGGGTTTGAGAATCCTTTATGCAGATCTCCTCCCCAAGCCAAGGCATTGCCCTCTTAAAAAGATTTTCCATTTCTGATGATTCATCATCTGCAACATCAACTGCCAATTCAGCATACTAAAACATTTTACAACTAAAACTATAAAATATCAAAATCTAGCTCAATATCCTAGTTCCAAGTTCCGCAAATCAAGATTCATCTGCAATCATCACCAAGATTCTCCCCACTATCTAGAGCCCTGGGTTTCTGCTCAGTTCTTTGCCAGCTTTTTCCAAATCATGAATTTTTGTTATTTATGTTACAGTTTTAGCCACTCCCTTTTCATGCCAAGCACTTCAATATTTTGTAGAAAAAGCTTGTTTGAGGATATGCTGCATCTTGTTTCAAATTTACTAGGAAAAGTAGCTTCCGACAAGAATGTTCTGCAATGATCTAAATCATTTAGAAGGAGATCTTGCTGTTCATGTACTATGCATCAGATTGTACCTGGCATTCCTGGTTGTCTGGGTCGCTTCCTGAAAAATGGCGGAGGGCAGATGAAGAAAGGAGCTACCACAGGCTCAATTTCCCATATAGAGACCCTGTTACGCCTCTCACCAGCTGCAGACTCATCCCAACCAACCTGTCAGGCATGCTAAATACTATTAATAGGAAAGAAATTGTAAAAGAGATAATAAAAAATACTAAACAATGCAAATCATTAACTGGACTAAAAGCTTAAGATTCAATCGTTTGGAAAATCCATAGCATGCATATCACTGATATTCAAAGACCAACCTGCAAATTTCGCCATTGTGAATTTTTCCATCTTACAGGATCTAAGTCGCTGATACCGGTAATCGTACCCATGTACCTGCAAAATTTCAAAGCAACTTTACGTTTTTGATCTAGTGAGAATTTTTCTGGGGATGTGGCACAAATCAAGGGTTTAAGTTGAATGAGAAAGTATGTCATTTTAGAAACAGGAAACTTTAGTACTTCGGTGGAAAAGCAAAACCAGAAGGGTACTGTGAAATTTGTTGCCTAACTGAATAGTGGTTAGTCACATACTCAAGGTGTTTGCACATGTGAAATTTAAAGAGCAGTTTACTGTAATGAAGAAAGCATATAATCGTGAACCAACTCCTAGAAAAATCAAGCAGTTTCCTCCAAGAACTCATCACATACATCCTTGTTTCCTATGTGAGTTGGGGCATTTAACAGTCATATTCACTACAACAGTAACCCTATGCCGCTTTATTTTCCCATCCTCTTCTTCAATTTCTTTTCCTTAATTTCTTCATTTATAATTCGTTACTCTATTCCCTACTTGTTATCTTTTCTACTTTATTCTTTTACTCTTTTAGTCCACCTAAATTGTATTTCTTCCTTTCAAATATCACCGTCGTTTGCCACTTCATCATCAGCATCTTGAATTCTTGATTACTAGACGAGTGCAACTTTTGTTCCTTTTATTATTAAAGAAGAATGATTTGATGCTGTTTGAGTGTCTTTGAGAGAAATTAATCTTAAACTAGACCACTTATACTCTCAAAGTTTCACACTTGAATGCCTAAAAATTGTGAACTCAGCAGATGGCCTTTTCTAACCAGACCACCTTGACACCCTTGCTACAAAGAAGCATTGATACAATCAGACATCCCATTTTGATGTGGTTAACTTAATGAACAAGTTCTTTACCTTCTAGTTCCTAGTTCTTCAGTTTCGAACATCATTCGGAAGCGCATACCCAGGGATATTTGATTGCTATATACTGCTTTCTGGTACTTCGCAAAAGGAATAACAAACTCTGAAGGACTAGCCCTGCAGAAAGATGTCAATTAATCACTATAATATAGAACAAATCTTATGTAAAATTAACAACTAATTTCTCCAAAACTGTGGATCATTGAGGAATGGAAAATAACGTACCTAGGGTTGTAAAATATGGTGAATGGACTATGATTGGCAGCAGCATGGGCAGCAGCAGCAAGAATGCCTATATGCATACTATCAGTTGACAGGACCGATGATTGTATGTTAGTAGGTTGCCTGTTAGCACGCCTAATACCTAAAAGAAGCTGCTGTTTTTGATCCCTGCACATGAGGTAGTGAATGAGAAATACATAAGCTTTGACTAAGATCTTGATCTTTTGGCTAAGCATCCACCATCAGTTACATACAGATAGAAAAATTAATGAAGGAAAAATGTGGCAATTGGTATTATGTCGTGAAAAAACTTGAAAGGAACAACCATAAGATTTTAACTAAAACACTTCTGAAACCGTTGACTGAGTTTTTCCTTATAATGTCTTCATAACTTCCATTCTGGAAACAAGAAAACATGATAAAGGTATTGGTGCACATTTTAGAGATTAAATTGGCATTACCTAATAAATAAGACAGAATCACCAGCAAACAACCTCTTTCCACTCACAAATAAGCTCCAACCAGTTGTGAGCAAATGCCTTTTTGGTTGGCCTAGATTTCACAGAAAGAAGATCATGACCTTTCAGGAATATAAGTTTAATAATAAATGCAAAAGCTGAGCATATGTTCAGTAAGCCATGATATTTAGCCTCTTAACTAAGTTTCCTTAATGGATTGTCAAAAAGAACCTCTAACACAAAATTGTAAAGGTTAATACTATTACCTTAATAGTAACAATATATCAACTCTTATCAAAAAGTTGGACATGAATATTAAACTATAAAAGACCTGTAAAAATCATGTGTCATACCTCGATAAATATGACGGAAGGTCCATAAATTGTCATGCAAATCTCTGGCCTCTAATTCTTGAGCAGGTGGCTGCATTGAAAAATCCTACACAAGAAAAACAAGGTTTGCACTATGGACCATTAGTGAACTATTAAAAGCCTATATCACATGCAAAGGTAACAGATGACTACAGAATTTACTTACAAGAGGAGGAAAAATTTTCTCTGCAGCACGACGAGGCACAGAGAACCCTCCATGAGTGCTTGTATCACTTGCAGTAAGTGTTTTACAAAAGAATTCCGTCTGTGGCCTGGTTTGTTTTAATGCAAGCTCTGATGCCTGCAGTGCCTCCTTGTCATACTGCATTAAAAAAAATAAAGTAAAGTACATACTCATGGTAGGCTTGACATAATTTTGGAGGGAGAACTAATGCATACAGCAGGACTAAAATGCTTAAAATTATGAGGGAGAGTCAACTGTTATTAGTATCTTTCCTCAAAAAAAGCAAAGGAAATGTCCTGTAACATGCATGATATATAAAGTGCATTAGCCATACAACCTTTGAGGCTAAAAACGAAAAACCATATATTTATGAGTAAAGCGGTAAAGCATTTTTCGTGATAAAGCTCTTTGTCAGTATCAAGAGATTGGAAGCTCTTATGCAACATCACACGTACCATGGAGAAATACCATAGGTCTAAAGGTACCATGACACTTTTGTAGCAATCAGTCTTGTCCTTTTCTAGTTTTGGTTAATGTCTATTTGCTGATGGATAGAATACAAAGCAAATGGAATAACTTGGGTACTGAGGAACTCCAAGTCAAATTACTAGCTGATTAGCCACATCGTTTTAGCCATTTTAAAATCTATGTGATAAAAAAGACAAGATGACTCACTGAGTTGACTGGCTGAAGAGTCATCTGAGCATAAACTTCATCTGTCTCTGGATCCGCCTAAAACATTACAAAGCCAAACTTGAAAGTTAAAGCCCACTGTAGAATGCAATCATAATTTTCATGTATAAAAGGAATGAATATCAATAAATGGTGGCATACATGCAGAGTAACATTGTGAAGAAGACATATCAACTTTGATGGAAGATTTGGGTAGTTTGGAATATGAGCATCAATATCTCTTTGCATAGAAGCTGCAACCTGAAAAAACAAATATGAGTTAAAAATTTAAGCTATGTAAGTGAAAGCATACAATCAATCTTCACCCAATATTTTTGAGTTTTAATGACAATCAACACTATAATTAAGAGATCATATAGGATTATCAATATTGTTTAGTTTTAATGACAATCAACACTATAATTAAACCAATTTCACCCAAATTTACCCCAGTTGAGGACTTTCGTCTAACAGGTAAAATGTTCCAAAATTCAAAGAATATAAATATGTTCTCTTATTGTAGAAATTTTGCCTACTTAGGATAATAAGAAGATGGCACATCATAGTGCTCAAAATAGATGCCAAGTAGCTCATCCATTGACCAAGTCACAACAAGCCAGCAGTGAAATCCCATTTACACACATAGCCTAGATCTTTTAGAAAAAAAGGAAACCTCAAGCTAATTGACAAATTTGGATCCAGTGTTCATTGTAACTGCCAATCCCAATCCACATCAAACTTCAGCCAAGTTTTAAACAAAGACCAGAACCTAAAATTGAACAAAAAAATAGAAGAAAATTCAGAAGCAAGGTTTATTTCAAATGTTTATGCAAGGACCTACATCAGATCTTCAGCTTAGTTTATGAACGTCACTGGCATACTTGTCATTTGATTTTTAAAATTTATTAATAAGATCCAACACTGTCGATTTATTTACATGATCCAACATTATCAAACATGTAGAGTGGTCTTGTGAAGAAAAAAGGCAAGAATGAGAATTAGATTCAAACAAGAAGTAGAACTGGTGATCAGAAATAAATGGAAATATATATACTTTGTTCGATATAAATCGAGAATGGATACATGGCTTTCTGGCATATATAAATTGCCTTGTTGTCACTCTCTAGCACTCACACAAAGGCCACCAAACATTCATACACAGGTTTTCTATTACCATATATAATTTGGATTTGATGCACATCCAATATAGGTAATGCACAAAATATGGGCACTGACACTCCATAGTCCATCCTATTTGGAAACAGTATCTATGTGTATCAGGTTGCCTTCCAGCGACGAAACTGCTTGAAACAAGGGTCATCAATCGTCAAAGTCGAACTTGGCCCATCCAAACAGAAGGTTCTGAGGATGATATACATGATCTGTTTTTCCTGATTTCACATGCAAGTCACAATAATTATAAGAAAGAAACTGTTTCAACTGTGTTCTGTACCAAAGGATAAAGTTTCCAAAATCTACTTTCCTCTTTCACAAATTCAGACATTGGTTATTATGTTTTAAGCTACTAATATGTTGCAGAAAGAAAAAGACTAGCACTATGTGCCAACAATCGCAAAGAGAACTTGCATATATTACTCATTTTACTAGTTTTTTCATCTTTCCAAACACAAGTTACAGAGTAAACTGAAGGCAAAAAATGGAGCAATGAAGATCTGAGGATTATGCAGAAAAATAACAACAGCGAAGGAAGATTTAAAAAAAAGGAACTTTTTTACTTGATAAGAAACAAAAACTACCAAGAAGCAACCTAAGTGATTCTTATTTGCAATTGGCCTTAAATTAAGCAAATAATATTTCCAAATTTCTTGAATCAAGCACCACACTAAAGTTCCTGCTGTCCGCAAATCTCCCGAGAATGGAGAATAACAGTTCCCACTAATAGAAGCCACAGAGCCCATATAAGTAAAATAAATCAAATCCGTTCAAAAGGTGAAGAATGGTCTGCAGGCCAGAAAACAAGAAGAAGTGTACACAAAAGGATGGTTTCGCTAACCACCATAAAAAGTGGAGGTATTTTCCGCATCCACAGGACTGGTCGCTCGTAAGCAACGCAGGAGACAATTGCCACACTCATGCACAGCACATCCTAGGAGAGGTCACGGTGGCAAATTAATAGCCTTTCTCGTCTCTTTACCTGCTCGCTGTGCCCTTGGGGGAAGTAGACGACGAGGCTCCCTACCGGCGGCACCGTCACCAGAGGCCCCGCGCAGGCATACCACAGCTCCGGGTTTATCGTCTTCCTCTCCCCTGCCACCACCAGCACCACAACCGTCAACCCCCTTCCCCGCCACCAACGGTCAAAGCAGCAAAAACCAGCTGGAAACCACACTCACCTTCGCAAGGATTCGGAGCCGCAGCTCCGTGAGCCGCCGCCTTCATCTTCCAGACTCCGTCTAGCACACCACCAACCGTCTCCGGCGCTCACCCGCGGGCCGCCGGCGCCGGGGAGCTCTCCATGAGTACCAGATCGGGGGGCAGGCCGATAGCCCGGTCTCCGGCAGGGGCCCCGGGTTCCGGCGATTCTGTCCGGTGATCAGGCGGCCGGGTGGCGGGGACCGAGGAGGGGAGGATCCCTGCGCGGGGAGCGGAACCGCGAGGGTTTCGGCCCTTTGAGGGGTTCGTCTCCCGACAAGCGAGGGACCAAAGAAGCAGAAGTCGCAGCGAAGAAGACGAGAGAAGGGGCGTCGATAAAATAAGCAGTATTCCCCCTCGGTCAGACGGTCGTCTCCTCCATTTCCTCGTTCCACTAGCAGATAATAAGCAGTTTAGCCCCTGCTTTTGTCCTCGTTTTCGTCTTGAACCCCCGGGTAACAGTCTTAACCGCGTCCCGTTGCGGTCACATCGCCTGAAAAGTACAGCACGGTCCGGTCGGAGGACCCCTGGCGCAATTTTGTCGGTTGGGAAGGGGCTCGTCGACAATTGAACCACGGCCCGACCCGACCTGACCCTTTTACGTATTACTCCGACCACTTAAATGCACCACGACTCCACCCCTTTCTGGGGCCCGCCCAACATCCTATGACAAGAATGGTAACTGTGAGACCGGAAATAACGGGTTGGGGAAAGAGATTTTGTTTGCGAAAGTGACCTATCATCGGAGATTTTTTTTGTGGACACGTGTCGACAAAGGAGTGGGGGTTCTTTTTTAAGCGTGTTAGCCCTCGTCATTACAACCACCGTGCCATGTTTGGTGACAGCAGTAATAGATGTGCAGTTCTTTCTTAATTGCCCACCTCCAACTCCTCCAAAAACCCGAATCATTGAGGCTTTAAATCTGGCAACTCTTTTTGTGGCATGTTAAGATATGTCAAAGATCAGTGCACGAGAACTGCTTAACGGGGAGTTCTAAATCGTAGCCTGCGACTCGCTGCTTCCGTTTGCCGAGGGAACACATTTCATACGTGCAACGAGAGGATTGCGGTGGCAAGATTGTGAATAAGTGCGAGGACGAGGGTGATCGTGCGCGAGGAATAAAGCGGCCGCCACCACGCCGACGTCGAACGCGGCCACCGTCACGTGCCGTAAATAAAATATACTATGCGGTCTGATTAGGTTTAATCCTCGAATTGGCCATCGTTAATTAATTAGGTCCCTCGGTGACGTGGCGCGTATTATTCGGCGCGTCCTCGTGTGACGGCGATGGGACTGCCGACCGAATATGAAAATACTTCTTCTACTGGTTAAAGTTACCCGACGAATATACCTGCAATTTCATTGGTGGGGTATGTCTTTTGCCAATCAAAAGAAGGTAATATGGTGGGGACAAGTACGTGTAAAAAAAAAGGTTGCTTATGTTACATTCCCCCTTTTATGCGGAAAGAGAGAAAAAGAGAAACAATAATTTAATCTTTAATTCGCTGTATTTAAGGCGCGAGAGTGGGGAAAGGTGGGCCCGGGCGCACTCATTTCCCGGGAAGGTGCGTCGTGGGCTGGAGGCCGAACCTGGCCCACGCGGGACCCAGCTCGGTCGGTCCTTTTCTGGACCGCCGGGACGGCCGGCTCGTCCGGTATCGGGATCAGGCCGGACCGGCTCGTACAACCCGAATCGCGCAAAGCGAGACGAGACGGTTGATGCCGCCGAGGAGAAGGAAGCAAGAAGCCCTGCTCCTCTGTTTTGTCTCTGCTGCGGCGGGGTCCGTGGAGCCCAGAGTGCGGTGTTCCCTTGTGACCGCGAGAGGACGGCCATGCTTGTCCGCATGGCTGTGGGGGTCATGACCAGTGCCAGCAAACAGTGGTTGTCTCTGTTCCGTCTCAAGCTCGGAGGGGAAGCACGGAGAGAAAATAAAGATAAGTGTCGCCTAACATGTCTGCTGTGTATCAGATGTCATGTGCCGGTGAATACGTCACCGAAGACAAAAGCTTGGATGCGATAATATTAATGCTATTTTATGTTGTGCAGAAGAAGAAGAAGCAAGTAGGCAGAACAACAAGTACGGAGAGGTTGATGCTTCCACATCCATCGCAGTTTGTTCCTTGATGGTGGGTTTGGTATTTAAGCTTAAAAAACATCAGATATGATTCTAACTTGTTGGCCCTAAAAATGGTCTTTTTACCTTTTTTTTTCTTGAAGGACATGTTTGGTTCTCACACAAGCAGAGAAGAAATAGTAAACGCATCTAATAGAAATGGGAGAAGACCTCCTCGGTTGCAAGAAAGAATTTTTAGCAATGAGAATTGCAACTCCAAGATTCACTTGTATGTATAACCTTTCCTATGCTACAACATATATGGATATATAATGTGTTCTAAAATATCCATCTACGTCAGCCATAAAATGATATTGGCACCAATCTAGAACAATGATAAAGATGCTTTGGAGATTCCAAACTCATGTGCAAGTAGCTAATAATATCACTCACAGGCATGCTTGGGATTGAGAAGAAGAAGAAGAAGAAGAAGAGTATAAGAAAAGGTGCTAGTGATTATAATATCATCAAATTTATGGTCCACGCTTTAATGGTTGTATCATAAAATAAAATAAAAAATGCATGCCATGGTAGTACAGATTTGGGATCCTTGGTGAACTTTAAAATGCAGTTGATAATAATGCCATTAAAGTGTTTACATTTGTATGTACCCTTCATTTTAGAAACATAAACAAGAAAAGAGAGTACCACATAATTCAATTATTTTAATAGAAAGTTACATATAGCTTAACTAGGAGGGTTGATGCATGAACTTCTTGGAACTTCACCAGGAAGCTTCCTCTAAGCACCTTCTTAACAGCATTAAGTATGAAGCCTTTGATTCTTGTGCATGAATGGTTGATAAATATATATTAGAGAGGCCATATCCCCTTTAGGATCTTCAAGGAATCTTAATCAGAGAGGTGTACAGCTAGTTTGATGCTGGAAGAATGTGAACCACCTAAATCTCTTAATGTTAGCTTTTGCTTGCATTATTCTACTGCACCTCATATATTATAGGTTCAGATCATCCCAATACATTATGTTGGTGCTCATACTAAAACCTTCTTTCAGTTTCTTTTTCATCTCACAAGTAATTTCTCAAACTAAAAGACATATTGCTGAAATTAGGGATGGATCTTACAAGCAAGGACAATTGCTGTTGCCAATAGTAAGGTGTAGAGAGTCCCTTGGCATGACAACTTAGTCGATAAATGCTTCGCATCCTCTGAACATGCCCTTGTTAACATCTAATGTCGAGCATCAAAGGCTTACTATCCACCAAAAAATGTTTCTTTGATGTGATGTTTTAGCTAATGCCACGGATATGTATGAGTTTACAACCACAAATTGCAGTACTTTTGCTGGTACAAAGTATCGAACATGTCACATGGAGTTCAGTGTTCTGTTGCAGACATAAGGTAGGTATGTGCAGTGAGTTGATCTACATGGTTGGGTGTTGATAAGGTCAATCAGTGGCTTCTTGACCTGTACCAGCTGTTTTGATCGCAACGTTTCTACCCCATCTATCAAACACACTCTGTTGCTGCAGTCCATTTTGGCAGTATTATTTACTCATTTTTTCTCTCTTTTTGCTCATATATTTATCTGTTCTGTAGTTTTAACTCTACCCCACAAGCCTCCCACATTTCCATGAGCATTTTTTCTATCTGCCACTTGTACAATTCATTTTGATTTCTTTAAAGGCATCCGTTCTGTCAAGAACATGGTTTTGGTGCAACAGTGGCTACAAGAACAAGAAAAAGGAAAAAAGAATTCACAACCAACATCAGATGCCTAAAAGATTATTACATATTCTTTGGACAGCTACAGCACCACAAAGCAGATGCCATGTGAGTTTGACCATGCACTGTTCTTGCCTCTGGGGACACCATCGCCATCCCCTGCAGCATGGGTGGCTTCACAGAATTCAACAACCTCTTTAGTGTACAATTTTAGAGTGGGGAGGAAGAAATGATTGATTGGATGGTGATTGAACTGGCCACCTTCCAAAGGCTTCAAGGGCCGACATCTTTTTACAGTTGGTTTAGCTTTCGGTAGACAGTAATATTCTGCATGAAGTCAGCGGACATGCAGTAAGATTACTCTTGGAAGATGATCTTACTGTCTCAGTTCCCTGTCTGCCATGGTTTCTGCTTATCTGAAATATATATTTTTTTTAATTTTAACTGTAAACATTTGAAAATCATAACCAATCATAAATTAGATAAACCTCTACTTTCAGTGTTATGTACTTATTCTTGAATCTTCTGTTCTTTGCAGATAAAATGGGAGAAATGAAAGTACTGTTGGATCAACTTATGCTTATGAATACAAGAAATTGTAAGTTGATTGGGTTCCTTGGATTTTGTTATGGTGAATGAGTGGCTCAGAAGACACCACAAGGCATAGTTTCAGTCCATCCTTATCCTGTGCAATTCAGTTCCCAAATTTGTGTGTTGTTGCAGTATGAACCTTCTACTAGTTAAAGAAGCTTGGCAATCTACACCCATATGTGAACCCTTCCCTACCATTTTCTTATGTTCAAGACAACTGTGAAAACAAATTCTTCCTTTTTACTTTTTGGGAAAAAATTGTTCATATATCTCTCATGATGCCATTAAATATCTACACATCAAAATTTTTGTTTAGCTAGTCAACATGTAGGTGGACATATGTGTGAGAATAAACCTCAGAGTATAATACCAAAAAAAGAAAAACTCAGCTTCCAATATCCAAAGCAAAAGAACAGGGTTTTTATGTTGTCTGCAAAATAATATCTACATGTGGATTTGCTGTTTTGCAAAATTTGTGAAGACTAACTCCTTAACTATATGAAATCCTTGGAAATTTAAATGATTTCTTGAACTATATGATGCTATGTTACTCTTTAAAAAATCTTGATAATTTGACATATAATGCTATGTTGAGAATAAAATGATCATGTTGGTATGTTAAGCTTCGGTGTCATAGTATAAAATTTGGTCCACATCAATGTATAAAATATTGATCTTATACATTGATCTTGTGTGTTAGGTGATTTGTTAATACAGAATAAAATCTTTGAGCATCAGCATCAATGTATTTCTGTGGATGAAACTGTGGTTCCTACTTCTGCCCTTTCCTTCATCTGTCTGCACACTGATCCACATCAACCTATATACTTGTGGAAGAATGTGATTTGTACTTAACATTTGGAAAAGATTTATCATTTTCCAAATGCATTATAGTTAAATCAGCATACTTTTCGACACTTGTCAAGGCTTTTCATTGATAATATTTTTCTTCATTGTCTTGATAAACCATT